CAGCCAGTTCTTTACCCAGCAAACAGTAAACATGTCTAAGCCATGAGCAGGCAATTTCTCCAGGAGAATGCTGTGGGAGATGCTGTCAAAGGCTTTGCTAAAGTCCAGGTAGACAACATCCACAGCCTTTCCCTCATCCACTAGGCGGGTCACCTGGTCATAGAAGGTGATCAGGTTGGTCAAGCAGGACCTGCCTTTCATGAACTCATGCTGGCTGGGCCTGATTCCTTGGTTGTCCTGCACATATGCATCTAGGTATCTCAATACCTCTGAGGATCTGGGTCAGTGGGCTTGTCAACCAAAACTGGAATGGGAATAATAATTCTTTCTTTTGTCACAAAAATATATGAATATATTGTTTTCTGCAAGCTGTTGATTTGCTCTGTAAATAGATAATAAGGGCAAGGGAAGTAAGTATCGGAGATAGACCTGAAATTCAGAGACAACATTTGCAGGAAAGGCAGTGCCAGAAAACATGTGAAATAATAACCACAAGTGCACGGAATGTGTGGCCATAGACTTTTCACTGGAAATCTGCATGTGTAAATGCACACAGTTATTGAACATAGAGTATATATGCCCTATTACATACAGAGTTAATTGATTGCAAGTAGAATTGCATAATTATTCCTTATATAAAATCTCCTAGTTACATTTTATACCTCAGTTAATATAGTGCTTGAATTAAAAGATTTATTTAAATACTTGAGTGGCTATTTAGCAAGGCATCCCTGTTGTTATAACCACAATGGATAAACCTTGGAGACAGTTTGCTAGGTCTCTGTAGTCTGATTGCCCAAGCAATCAGGGCTTTATTCCAGCTGTATTGGCCTTTGATAATCTACAAGGCATTCTGCACTCAGTTGGGCAACTTTAGTAGTACTGTGCCAGTGCAACCCCCAAGTTATTTAAATACAGCAGGGAACAAGAGTACAGGAGTGACTTTCTATAAAAAACAGGACCACGATTCTGCTGGAACTGATGAAATAATTAAATTTAGTATGAGACCCACAAAGTTTAGATGTGAAAAATGAAGCATTAGAATATTGTCCAATCTTTTAACTTCAAAAAGAAACTAAAAACATTGTGCAGCTGCTGTGGCTTTTTTTCTAAGATGATCCTAATACAATGCATCTGAAGTATCTGAAAACATTTATGGGCTCAGCACTGAGAATTACTACTAAAGGCTTCACCCTACAATCTTTTTAGGCCCAGAACAAAGAATTAAAAAAGGCAAAGTTGTCTGTTTTATTGGGAGAGCAAAGTCATCTTCACTTTGGAGAAATTGCTTATTGTAGATATTTTCTTCTCGTTGCTGGGATTAATTGACATCAGGGTGCTACATAGATATGGGAATTGATCTGGTACCACAGAAATTATTTCTTCATTAGTATTGCTGGGGGAAGGAATGCAGTAATTTCTAGCATTCTAGTACTTCTAAAATATTTGATTTGTCATATATTCTACTGCAATCTGACAGTCAGGTGACTGCATTTGAAAATTTGTCCTGGGAAGTACAATGAGTTTGGTTTATGATCTGATTTGCTAGATGTAATGTTGAATAGAGACCACTCCTATTTAACATTAGCAATTCAGTAGGACATACTTTTTCCTCCTTATCTTCCAACTAATTGGGATCTTATAGGAACTTGAAATATTTGGACTAATTTTAAAAGACAATTAAGGTTTCAACCTCTCTATTCCTACAATGTTTAAGGGAATGAAAGCTTCAAATTCCGTCAGCTAGCTATATCATAACAATGATGGTAACACCCTGCAAAAATTACATGATGATCACTTTTAAATTATAAAGTGATGTAACAAACAGCTGTGAAGAACAGATGATACGTGAATTATCCTAGGGCTTTTACAATTTGGTCAGCAAGTCCATTGATGCATGAAGGACATCTTTAAATCAAGGGAATTTAATCAAAACTAAAACTAGATTTAGTGCTGTGAATACAGACATCCCTTTTTCTATCACCTATGGGATTAAGATTGGATTTCTTGAATTGAGAGCATGAATGGGCAAAAAAAATTTATACATGATGTCTCCACTAGAACAGAGCAGCAAGCTGCATGATGGAATTTATATCTGGTTATTAGCGTGATATTCAAATCTAGGAAATGCTCTAGTTCTCATTGGTGTTATACAAGGATTTCCTGCTTTACAGTCAGTAAAGACTTTTCTCTCTCACCCTGTCAATTAGCCTCACTATTGCCATGGTGAAGAGTACCATACAGAGAGCAGCAGAGGTTCTGACTTGTCTGACATTATGGAAGAAGATGAAGAAGAGCTGTACTCCGAAATGCAGCTGGAGGATGGAGGAAGGCGACGAGTCAGTGTGACTTCACACAATGCACTTAAGGTAAGTGTGACTGCAGAGAAAATTTAGGAGTACCTCCATATTTTGATTCTTGCCTCAAAGAATTTATTTTAGTCAATTACGGATTTTGTAGACCATTAAAACTTACACTGTTGTATAGACTTAGAGCTGGGGTGAATGTAGTTTATGATCTCAAGGCCACTTTTTAATACATTTACTACTTTTTTTTTTTTTATTTGACAGCTAATCTTTTAACTAACTGACTATTTTCCTAATTGTTGAAGTTGCAATTTCTGCTCTATATCTGGGCATCTTTCCCATGCTTATATGACAATATACTACATGTGCTCCCCGGACAATGAGTTATTTCTGAGCAAGGAGATTTATATAAACATACGTATAGGAAAAAAAAAGCAACTTAGGCTTTACATGTCTGAGTAATTTGTCCCTGTTTCTAGTGCTAGTCCCATCTTTTCCAGAGGCTTTAAAGTGTCCTTGTAAGAAAGGGAGTTGGGTCAGCTTTGATAAATGCATTATCAGAAATCCTCGTGCTCTGATTATTAGGGAACCACCAGAGGCAGTAGGAAATACCTATCAGAAATATTGCTTTAACACTACACAGGAATATTCATCAGGAAAGACAACTTTAGTATAACAAGCAAAGTGTACGTAGAATGTTGAACCTACCCAATACAGAATATGTATTTCCCATAGTGTATTTGTACATGTAAATTGTATTTGCTTTTTATGTGTCTAGCAATTACACTAAATTGTGTTTTCTTAGAAGGCTGAATAACCTGGAACAATAAGGAAACCCACAGGTTGATTTTTCATCCAATATGTTGTTACTTAACTGAAAAACAATAGTATTTTCTCATGCCTAGAAGAATTTTTACCATTCTTGTAACTGATTTTATGTATTATAAATTCAGTCTTTTCATTCTGATAACTATCTGGAATGAGACAGGTACTTCTTCAAAAGAAAAAATAATCAGCGTTCCTATTATTCTGCTAACGTAAAGGTTGAACCTGAAATCCTTCTGCATGCTGCTTCTGTCCCTTTCCTCTGGGAAAAAGTGAATTATCCCTATATTGTTCTTGTTCTTTATGTCTCAGAAAGTATCTTTACTTCTTGGTTTTAAATTAGTATTGCCAATGTTAATATTTAAAAAGGTCCAGACCCTTAATCAGCATAAAAAATCATTTTAGACATCTTAAAATCCACAGGCATACTTCTCTTGTAGTAGTGTATGTGAAGGGTATGGTTGGTTGACTCATTCTGCAGAAGTGGAATTCAGTATATGAGTACTTCCTGGGGAAGGACCCATGGATGTCTGGGTCTCATTTGGAGAATATGGCCCACCATGCTGATAAGTTTTCTGATATAAAATGTGAGTCAGATTCTGATCCCAAAGTGCTCCATAATTTCCTCTTCTTTCACTAGATCCAATTTCACCTTGCAACATCATAAATTATCAAAAAAATAAGAAACATGTTTACTGAATTTTCCATAATGTAATCAGATTCCTGTTCCTCTTGCATCTGAAAGTATGCCCGCCATGACCTTGCAGCTGTAATTGAGTATTCTGTCCTGAGTTAGTAGATGCTCTCAAGTAACAAGAAAACATTTTGCATGCAGATATATATTTGCTTTATTGGGAGATTATCATTCCTTCAAATGGTTCCCTAAAACAAAGGCTAATACAGCCTTTCAAAGGAAGGATCAAAGGAAGATTCAACTCACTTAGATGATCTGAGCTCCAACCAAAACTGTCCTTATTAATATTTATTGACTTTTTTCCACTTTTATGGCAGTTTGTCTCAGAAGTTTCACAAGTGTGATACATATTTTAAAAATTAATGAAAATAGGTGAAACAAATATAGTCATGAAGTAACTTAGAAAGTGCCTAATGTCTGAAAGCGGAAGACATCCAGAACCCAGTTAAGTTTAACATGCTCAGAGTGAGAGCTATTGCTGAAGTCTCCAAGATGATCCTGTCACTATTTATGGGTGCTGTTGTGTCCAGAGACCTGCCTGATCTGGGCATTAAGGAGAGGTGATCTCCATGATGTAGAATCTATAATACATGTCAATCAAAACCAACACCTCCTACATCATTATTCTCTTGTCTCTTCTCAGAATCCAACAAAGATACTGCACAGGATTCTTCTGTCACAGCAACCTGTGTTTTGTGTAAATGTAATAGAAAAATTACAGAATGTTTCTATCGTGTTCAGAATGCTCTTTTTATCCAGGCTGGGATAGTTTTTACCTACTTCTGGTATAAACAGAGACTTATACTTACTTCTGCTAATAGGCTGATTTTCAAATACTGGTTTTATCAAGCAGGTACAAGATTATGATGAGAGATTTCATGACAGTGCAGACCAAGTGATATCAGAGAGCAGCTGGCTTCTCAGGGTCCTTTCTGTGGAATCCAAGCTTTTAAAATGGTGCCCTTTTTTTTTACAATTTTACTAAGGAAATTAGAACTCCCTTAATGATGGCTGCAGAATAGCTCTCCTCTGGCAGATTTAAGACTATTTGCTACTCATATAGGATGCTTTAACAGATGTAAAGCAAGAATGATTGCTAGAACAGAATTTTCATCCTCAGATATGGGTTCTGGTTACAATGAAAAATTAAATAGCAATTTGGCATGGGGCAAGGAACAACTAAGCACTAGTGCTGTGTTTTAATGCCATTCCCATTCACCATGCTGGAACCTGTGTGCAGCTTTTATTGCTTTGTTTTAAATGCATGGGTTTATTCTTGTTAAGAGCATCACTCAGTTGTTTGTACTGACCTCTCATGTTGTACCTAACACTCAGCAACTTCTTAATCATGTCTTTATTTTCCACAGATTCTCATTCAAAGCATGTCATCCTTTTCACTAAATAAGCTGCATGTCTTATGTTTGCCATTGCTCTAAAACTAATTCTGTCTTTATTTTTCTTTTCTTCTCCCTTTTCCCTCCCATTTTATTTTTGTCACACACTATTTGTTCCCTGTCTGGTTTTTAACATTACATAATCTTAAGGAGTGCGATAAGACCACTGAAGCCACTTTTTTGGAACAGCCTGACTTTTCACAGCAGATACATCACAGTAAAAAGCTTTTCAGTATTCCAGAAGTAGCTGAAGAGGATGGTGAATACTCTGAACTGCTGTACAAGCAGGGTTTAGGTATGCCCTATAAAAAGAATCCCACAATAGCTAGAGACTCTAGACCACCTAGGCCCTACAATCAAGACCAACAGCACAACGTCTGGTACCCAGCGAAGCACAGAATTTCAGGCGTGGAGGATTTTGCTGCAGACGACAAAGGATGTAAATATAGCCGATCCTTATCGAGAAGCCCAGACAGTGGACTAGACTGTGGAAGTGAAGAAGAAGAATCTCGTTTTAATTTCAGATATACTTGTGATTCAGTTTCTGCCAATGTTGCATCTAGCTGTTGTGCAGAGACTGCTAACTGTTCCTGCAGGAAAAGCATGAGGCCATTGCTTGCTCGCAGGAAAACTTTAACCAGACAAACCAGCATTGAAGAAGATTTTGGTGACCTGGGTCCTTCCTTTGTAGAACACAGGAGTGAACAGGTCAAGCCCAGTTACGAGAAAAAGTATGAGACTCAGAAATGTAATAGAACAGATAATTTGTCTAATGAAGATGTTCAGGGAGGCTGGAAGACTGACTTAAAAATGGCTGACTCTAGGGCAGCTGGTCTACTTGCAAAGCCATCCCACAGAGATGCAGAAGACTCTCTGGTGTGTGAAATAAATCTTCCTTCTAACATCTGCTTGCCAAATTAGTCTATTTTGTTTCTTTTGTTCTTTTTTTTCCTTTTTTTTTTTTCCTGAATTAATTTTTAGAGTCTGTCCTTTGGACTTATCTGCTACATTTTTCCTTTTTTTTTTCCTCTCCATTCATTTTTGTTTAATATTCTGCATTTTCCTTTACAGTCCTCTTTTGTGTCATGCTGAAATCGGTTTAATTTGCTTTACAATGATTTTCCTGCAGAACAAATTACAATAATGGCTGCTTTTATTAAAGGACAACTGAATCTAAATTTTAATTAAGGGTTAGCTGAACTATAATTTTTCCAAAAGATTGTTTTTCTTTATTTTGCTCATCTAAATGTTGCTTTGAAAAAAAGCTGCATTTTAACTGGTAAAATATTTCATCGGGTTTTTTGTTGTTCGTGTTTTGTTTTTTTTTTAACGTTGAAAAATTCATTTCATCATGTTGTTTTTATTCACCTCATTTCCAGAATTTTCAGGATATGGTCTTTATCATGAAACATCTCTGGACAAGAATCAAGATTCTCCCCGAGTGTGACAGTGACCCAGATTTATGAAGTCACGGGTTTTATCATGTTTCCATTTTCTACCTTATCTCTGCACTGTCACTACTTTGCCTTCCTTTTTAGACCATCTCTTCTTGCCTTTGAAGTTGCAGACTGCATCTCTGCATGAGAATGCAGGCAAACAGCTTCTTCCAAAAGGAGAGGCCAGGGCCATTCCATATCTTTCAAGGATGCCTCTGCGTGATCTTGCCTACTTGCATTTCTGTCTGTTAATCTATAGCAGTCTCCACACTTTGATAGATGTATCCATAGGCTTCCCTGCTCCCTAAAGACCAAAGCAAGGTGTTTACCCTCTCAGTCTGCAACAGTCCAGAGTTTCATGTAAGAGTAAAAATCAGTTGCCTGCTCTTCTAGCCTAGCAGTTTGTGCTGAACTGATCCTTAAAAATTCCTCCCATTAAAATTGGTGCCCAAGCTGTATTAATCTCATCGTTACCGTTTAGTTATTAAAGAGCAACATCTTCTGCAAGGGTAGTGAACAGAAAGAGACAGCTGTGATGTGAGATGAAGTGTGTCTACATTCCCTTCTCCATGTTTCAATGACCTTTAAAAGGCTGTAACAACTGAAGGCCATTATAGAAAAGGAGTGTGCTCAAAGACAGAAGGATGTACACTTGTTCACATGCTGCAAACTGGACAAAGCTATGTAGCTGAATACAAAAAAGGCTTGCCTTTTCAGTGCAGTCCAATCTCCACAGCTCTCACGACTGGTTGTACTACTCTTCAGGAGACTATAATGTCATCTTAGCAGCAACAACAAAGGCAAAAGAATATTTCAAAAATTATTCTTTTCTTTTCTTTTTGTTCTGATGTGTGACTGCTGGTTACAAAACTCTGCCATAAACCAGGGAACCATTTTTTCTTTTGCAGGATTGCCAGGCAGCAGTATTTACTTTTCAGCTAACCTTTCAGTTAAAAGCTAAGTTTAGTTGCCTTTAGAGCTTATGCTTCCAAATGTGATTGACCTGATTAATGTCCAACCATATAACCATGATGTTACCATGCATGTAACTTACAAACCTGTTTTTTCTGTTGTTGTTTTTTAGCTTTTAGGTAATCCATCATCTGCAGGACGGCCTGAAAGGGCGGAGCATGCAGGGCGAAGGTCCTCTCATGGCAGTGCAGTGTCACAAAGGTCTCGACCAATGTTGGTCCCTTCCATTGGTTAGTTGGACAGATTGGTGCATTTCTGTTCTTTGCAGCCTCAGAGTTGGGAAGGCGGTCCTTAAAAAAGAAACAACAGACGCTTGTCTTGAACCATGCTTCCTCTTAGTTTAAATGGGATGAAATGGGAGTAAAAACATCTCCATCTGAGTGTACTGGGGTCTCACAGAGGGCTGAGTCAGTAGTCATCATCGACATCACTTGGAGTCTTTTCATAGATTTTAGTGGGTGTTGGAGCTTTTCTAAGCTTGGTTAAGCTTAAATACTGTCAGATCTTACCTAAGAAGAAATTATAATGCAGGCAGGCTGCTATATGATCAGTAAAATAAATGTACCCATTCAGCCATCCATTTAGCCATCCATCTTGCCATTCCCATTCAGCCATCCATTTAGCCATCCATCTTGCCATTCATCAACCATCATTTTGCATTCACTTTCCATTTTCTTGACTACTTTTTGGAATTTAGCAGGAAAATTGGAAGCTGTTAAATGTAACAAGTTAGTAGAACTTGCATATATTTACTTGATTTGATACTTCTTACAGGATCATCCCTATTCTGGTTTACTTATGACTTAACCTGTATGCTGGTGTATACCAGAAAATCCAAAAAGTAGTGCAGAAAAGATAATGGAATCGAGACACTATGGACAAATACATATCTGTTAAAACTTGCACTCTATACTGACAAATAAACATTCACACTGAAAATCGGGAAACACATGCAAAACAAAAGCAGAAGGAGTTCTGTGAGCTATTAGCAGAACTTTACTCCACAAAGATGTAAAGTCGGTCTGGTTCCTGTCCCTAACGTGGACTTTAATTTGTGGATACTGTGGGCATCATCAGGAGGAGAAGGAAGCAATTCTCACCTGACATTTATGTGAATAAGGGATGTCACAAATGGGGATTATCAGAACGAGAGAGACTGATCATTAAGGAATACTTTTAAATATTAAGTATTTTTCCCTTTTCATAGACTCACACTAAAATGCCTGTACTGTAAATTAAAAGCAAAGTCCCCCTAGCGGGCACAGTTATTTTAATACCATAGATCAGAAAACACGCACAGCTGTAATGTGTGAAACTTTCTTAGTGTCTTCAATATAGCATGGCTGTTCAGAGGCTGATTCTCGTCCCACATCCTGGTGTAAACCAGGATAATCTTCACAGATGTCAGTGGAATTACACTGGTATGAAAATGGTATGAGGGAGAATCAGCTTCAGGGGGGCTCTTGTGCTTCTATTGACAAGCAATTGTTAGCTGAATCAAATTTTCAGATGATGGTGTGAAGGCTGTTAGTATTTCATGTCATTTTTTCTTTTTCTCTGAAAGCAGCCTTTTTTTTCAGGAGTAAAGATTTCCGGTTTATGTTTGGACTACTTAAAGCAAGTTTTGTATCTGAGTTCTTTCTTCTATATTATCTGCTAAAACATTTTTTTGTAAATAGCAAGAGAGTAGACAGGTTTCTTTGAATTAATCCTTTGGGCTTCCTTTTAGTTTTCATTTGAATTAAAAAATAAGGGAAGTGATTAAACTTATCAGAGCTCACTTTCTGTCAACAAAGTTAGTACCCGAAAACTGCAAAGTAATGACTTCACTGTTTAGTAGTTCAGTAGCAACAGCTTAGGAATCCAATACAGAAATTAATTTCTGATGGTCAATCTGTGCTCAAACAGATAATTAAATAGAATATAAAATCTCAGATTGTATTTCTTTCAGTGTAACTTAAAGAATTAAAGAACGAATTAGTGTGTTTTGTATTGTATACAATCCATAAATGTTTTTTGGGGAAGTTCCATTAGAAATAAATTGCAATATTGTCTAATGCTGGTAACAAGCAAACTACTGAGCATTATGTACAGTATCTAACAACAAAAAATTATTTGCTGTGAAAGGCCTTATTGGCTTGGAGTTCAAGAGTTCTAATTTCTGACTAAAAGACTAGTGATTAAATTGCTGAAAGATATGTATACATTATTTCTAGCTTTCAGCATCATACTGTAATAAATCACTTTGAGGATAAGTGAAGCAAATATAAACACTTGCTAAAACGCTGCACAAAAGTTGCTTCCTGTAAGCCTGCTGGAAAAAAACTGAGGAGATATGAAACATTTCAAGAGGTCAAGTAATTAAAATATAGTAAAAACAGGGCATCCAAAAGCATATAGTAGAGCATTGTATAAACTTGAACCCACTGTTCAGAACTCCCACTGACAGAGGAAATATCCCGTGAATAAAGGCTACAAGTATGGTTTTTGAAAAGGAAGTTGTTATAGTTGTGCCACTAGACTATGTAGTTCCACAAAGTGAGAAGCAGAGTAAAATGAAAGAAAATAAATATGATTGAGCCAAAGTTTAGACTGTTTAAATACATGAAACTGTTGTTGGGCTTAGCATATAGCTCAAAAATGTGGATTCCAAATTTCTTGGCAGCATCTTATTCCTTTACATGTATGCCTGGAGTTTTTACTGAGTTATTCAGCTAAAGGGTCACTTTAGTGATGGAAAGTTCGTAAGGCAGCTCTGGGAGGTTAAATTAGTGGGAAACACCTTCAAAACTGTAATGTTCTTAGGATTCCAATGATAAAACTAGTTTCCAAAATGTTCCAGAATTTAAATTCTTCGGGCTATTTTCTCCCTTAATCTATAAAACTTTGGATTAGTATCTTCTTGCAGGTAGGATTTAAGTAAATTAATTAATTTTTGTTTTTAGGTTGATACTTTAGAAGGTGAAACACAGTTTACAGTGCTCTTGACCTTGCAGATCTGGCAGGTAGGATTGTTTAAAACTCATAATAAAAGATGATTCCTATCCAAAGATCTAGCAAACAATATTTAAGCTGTATGAATTTTAAAAGGCACAAAATTGTGATGCTTTAAAAAACAAGATACACATTTCTGTGATTCCCCTGCTGAAGAAGGCTTTCTAGAGGCTGAGACATCTGGCAAAGCTTATATAATATTTAGCCTTCATATTATATGCAAGTCAGAAAAAAAGGTAGGCAAAGCCTGCTAGCAGGAGCCTCCACAAAGGCAACTATACAATATGTTTTAATAGATCATTCCCTTTTTCTCCATAGAAATTACAATGGACAGTAACAGTGAAGGCGGTCGGTCTCGGTCAGGTAGTGAGGGAAATATTTCACCTGTAAAAGAAGAAGCTTATTATCGCAGCATTGGTGGACACAAGAAATGGCCTCAGCAGCGTACCATGGCCTCTGAATATAGATACGGTATGCCGAACATTATTCATCCTTTATGACAGACACATTTTAGAGCTGCGTGTTAACAAGTGCGGTTTCTGTATGACAACATTGCATGCAATGCAGAATGCCAGGGGAACTAGCTCTTAAGTCCTGTCTGCTCTCAGGTAAGTTTCTCCAGCTCAGCTGTAAGGGACAAACAGCCCTTAGTCCTCTGTCCTGAAACTGCTGTGCAGCCACCTTTCCATACTTACTGAGTCCGAGCACACTGCATTGCATGAACCTCTGTGAAGCTATGCTGCTACTAATGCCAGTCAGTATTTACTGTATACACCTGAACAACCATTCATCAAAATGACTGCATTTGCACTTGATTCATATCAACTGGACAGGGACAAACAGTAGCTGGTATACCACAACCCAGTGACCTATAATAGGAAGCAGTTACCAAACATTATTCTGATTTATGGCTTGGGCTAAACAAAGATTCGGAGTCTTTTCAATAACCACACAGGACTTTGGCTGTTTCACTTGGTGAAGGCAAAAATTCTTAATTTTAGGAATAACAACAAACTTGTATTACACAAGTAAGGCAATTATACCCACTACTGATAGTATTTGTTGCTTCATCAACATAGAAATCATTACATGATCAACAACTCAGTTTTCATAGTTCATAACACAGTGAATTGAAGTGTCTGACAACCCATAAAAGCAGCCCAGGCCATATATAGAGCTAAGAAACACATTACGCTTTTGTTGATATCTGAAACTAAACAAAAGGGGCCCTGAAAGTTTAGGTAAATCATAATTTCGTGTTGGGTTTCAAAGGAAACATATCCGACTGACAGCAGATCATCAGCTTGTGTATATTGGTGTATATCTCATTAATTCAATGCAACTGTGATTGCAGCTGTGCATCTGTTGGGAATTTGGCTGGCTGCATCCAAATGTGAAGATTTTACATACACAATCGTGTGTGTATATGTATGATATATGTATATACCTCTTGAAAGAATAAGATAAGTGGGTAACGAGCTAATAAAGAGATTATTTATGTTCTGGTTCACTGAAGCAAACGTGACTATTCTGAGTTGGATGTTACAGGCCAGTGCTTTTAACAGAGATACACTTGGCTATAATTCATGTTTGCACCTAACCCACGTTAACTGCAGTTGGAGTTGGATCCAAAAATCAGTTTTTTATTTTAGCAAAACAAAAGGCCCCTTAACACCTGTTTTACATTGCCCAGTGGGCCTGAGTATGAACCACAGAATGACTGCAACCTGACTGGTGGGAGAACAGAACAGAGAACCCATCCTTTGTGTCCCATTGCTTTCTGTCCCACATGTGCCCTTCTCCCACACTTCCTTTCTGTGCTTTGTGCCTGTCTAAAGCTTCTTGGCTGGAACTTTTCCCTGCCCGTTTGCTGTTCTGCATTTTCCCCTATTCACATTCTTTCTTGCACTCTGGACCCAAGAGTCAGTAGCTGTTCCCTTAAAGCTGTGACCCTCTGAAATTTTTTTCTGGTAGTTTAAAAACAGAAAATGTTGAATAAAATGCATCTGATGTTGAGGCAAGAAGAGGAATTTTATCTAAAATTTTCTATGTTGAATGTTCAAACTATTACCAAAAATGGGAGTCTTCAATTTGTAAGAGGTGATTACATTAAAAATTGTATTAATATGAAATTTGTTTGGAAAAAAATTGATATAGTTGAACTACATTTTCATTATAATTCATAACATCGCTTGCTCAATATATTCATTGTGAAGGATCTTGTAAACTGGATGATAAGTATTGATTCAGCAAAGAACGAAAGTATGTGATTCCCTCTGAAGTTAGCAGGACTTGCACAATAAGCCAAGTTTTTCAGAAGTGGCTTGTGATTTTGAGGGCTTTAGTTTTTGGATTTCAACTTCATATGTCTTGAAAGACCCTTTTTGCAAAAACGCTACCACATGCTCTTTCAAAACAAAATTAAAAGCCTTTGAAATATGTCAGTCAAAACACTCATTGTTAGCCATTTCGGCCTAATTTCTAATTCAGTTTTACTGAAGTCCATCCTTAAGTATGTTGTTGAATCATGGACTAAACACATTTGAAAAGTCTGCAAGATGTATCAGACAAAACATCAGTTCTCATTTATTATGTCCTAATTGATGTGGTATCCTGCAGTGGACAGAGTTCAGTGCGGTGTCAAGTGTTGTGATATTCATGGATGATCTTTCCTAATGAGTTTGTGATTAAGTGAAGTCACAGCTAACCATTCCTCCTGGATTTTAACACATCTTGTTAGCGTTTGGGTTGGTTTGGGGCACTGCTGGCTATGTTAACTATTGACCGTGTTTAAACAAAATCATAGGCAGTGTATGATTGCCAACAATGTTCCAACCCTGGCATAACTAACACTACTGAAATAGTTTTCTTCTTGCCTGTCTGGACAGAAGAGGTTATAACCATGTTTTAAACCTGGTACCTAAAACATGGTATGTCAACACAGCTGGGATGTGCTTTCTTGTGTCCATGAAGAGCAGAAGCAGCTGTGCTGGAAAACAAATGGATCTAAAGCATGGTTATTTTTGCAGTAATGATAAAGCTTATCAAACTCATCATTATATCACTCAATATGCTTGATTCATTTATGGCAAATTCTAGTAAACCTAACAAAAATTGCTTTCTTATCTGAGCTGTATTCACATGTGTAAATGTCAGTGTGGTGTAGAAGGTCAACACCACATGCAGTGCATGCAGATTGTATATGCTTTTTAAAAAAATAACAACTTGCTAATTAAAAAAAAACCAAACACTAAGCTTAATAGGACATGCATTAAGTTATTGGTTTTTTTTCACTGAGATGCCGAACATTTTTCAAATATTAACTGGAATAGTAAAGATGAGGCCAACTTGTATTATTGAATTGTTCTTTTCTGGATTTATTTTCATAGATGGCTATGGTGGTCATGACCGTCTTTCTCCAGATATTTATGAAGAATCAGAAACAGATCCTGGCACAGAGGATATTTCTACTCGAATATTTGTTGCACTATTTGACTACGATCCACTGACAATGTCCCCAAATCCTGATGCTGCAGAAGAAGAGCTGCCATTTAAAGAAGGACAGATCATTAAGGTGGGATCTAAAAAGCAAAGGAAATGAAGGACCCACTTTTACTAACAGGGTCTCCTTTGTTCCCCACAGAGGAAGCAACTTGTGTGACTAGAGTCCGAGGTTGGTTTTCCTCCAGAGTTTCAGGCTGTAAATCTCACTGGATCTGGAACCTAATATCTAGTGCTAATGGCTTAAAAATAATTCGGTAATGGGCAAAAATCTCAAAGTTGCTTTGGATAGTTAGGGCCAGACTCAATTAGAGATTTAGGTGCTAGGACCAAAATTGTGACTCTGAAGTCCCCTATCTCCATTGCCACAAACCCTGCAGGAAAAACTGCTTCAGAGAGGACGTCTTTCCTGCAAGGGCACCGCGACAGTGCTTAGTGTTGTACCTTCGTACATACCAGAGCCGCTGTATTCTTTTTTAAATGCTGAACACATCTAGCTAGTATACACTTATGATTAATTAAGGTTTAGAAATACCTAATTTAGGTATTTCTCTTCCAGAGTCATCCTCTTCTGAAACTGGGGAAACCGCTCCCTTTTCTGACTGTTTGGTATAAAATACAGAAGCTGCCTTTAAACAGGGCACCGAAGACAAATCAGCCCTGGTTCGGTTGAGAGGGACAGTGTTAGACTGTTGGTGTTCTTAGCCAGCCCTCTATCCCAGCTTGCCTCATCTTATGACTGTGCAGCTGCAAGGCAAAATTGTTCAGTTTGCTGATCTGATTTTAAAAAGCTAGCAGATTTTTCTGTTGAATCAGCAAATGTAAGTATCTCCTCCTGCAGCCTTGTATCGTATTGATCTGGTGCAAAGTGGGCAGAAGGAACAGCTGCTGGTAGTCCAACGGTAACTGAGATTTCTGTGTGATCTGAAACAGAACCTGAAAAAATGTAGACTCATTTGTTACACTACCCATCTCAAAGATAAAATGGTAACTTAAGCTATTAAAGTACTGGCTGCCTTCCACTGTGCTGGACTGGTTCCTAACACAAATGTCTGTATCCTAAATCACAATTTTTTTCATGTTAAATACTTTCTTAGATATTTTGCTTACCTTTTTACATTATACCAGATTTATGCCAAAAATATGGAAATTGTTTAAGAGCTTATTTTTCTTTGCAAGAATGTTTATTTCACTCAGGTATTTTAATTCTTTCTTCACAAATATGTACGTTTGGCACTGAAAAGTCTAGAGAGATACCACACCAGATATTTATTCTCAGTGATGTTTATTTTATATTTGGGACCATGGTGATTACTAGGTGATCTGCTGCTTTGAATTTCTCATCAAGTTGTTGTGAAGACGGACTAGTTTGAATTTTCAAAATACTTTTCATCCATTTCATCTGAGCACTGGGATGGTGGAGGGTCAATTCCACCACGAGCTGTATGAAATTTGTCCCGTACATGTGTTACGGTCACATATGCTGTACTGTGTGAAGTAATAGTGGTGCCGGGTAAGTCATGGGTATATAGTG